CAGGAATATCATTCACCTCTGGATATTTTTCTTCGAAAAGTAAGAGTTTCTTAAATATGGCAATGAATGTTACAGTCTATATCATAATTTGTGCCTAAGATATATTCTGATTTCAAAGAGTAAAAAAAAAACTTTAACAGGTTTAAATAAAAGAATTTAAATATATAAAAAGAGAAGAAATTTTCATCTAAACTTTTTTTCTTTCTCTCCCCGAACTCTGTTTGTATATAGAATTAACACAATAATATGTCTTGGAGGCATATCTTAAGTTTATTTTTTTCCTCTTTTTAAAATATAAGAGGTTTTATGCCATAAGTACAACAATTGTATTCTACCCTCTGTTTTCACAAATTGTTCAGTTGATTGAATATATGAGGAATTAACTAGTTGAAAATCATTTTTCTATGTATATATCCTAAAAATGTCCAATCTAAGTATTATTATCTTGAAACACTACTTCTCATCCCCTTCACCTTTTATAGGAACTCCACGTTTTAAACAAAGGCATTTTGCAACATGCTAAACCACCTAAGAAATTATTCATATTGAATTCATTTTTGTAAAACTGATGAATCTAATCTTACTCAGCAATCCTCCTATTTGCCTATGAATGTTGCTGTGCTTTAAGGACACACACTTCTCCTAAGGACATATAATTTTTGTGAATTCCAAAGCAACTTTGAAAATTAAGTAGTCAGTGCTTAGTTTCTGTGATTTTAAAATAAGTGTATGATTAGCTAAGAAAAGTTAAGATGTCCTTGGAATTAGGTACTACATTTTTTATGTGAGTCTAATTTCAGTGGTGTAGCAAAGTTCTGTGATACACACTCATACATGTATATGTACTTACATACACAGATATATGCACACATATTTATATCTGTTTTAAATGGACATTCCTTCTGTCCATCATATCTCCAGGAACAAGGGACCATGTGTGTAAATTTGGCTTAGCTCTCTTATGTAAAGTTCAGTGAGTAAATCCGACAGGTAGTTGAGAAGTGCTTAAGGCATGAGGACGTAGAAATCTGAACATAAACAAATTTTTCTAAAATCTTTTCAAATTTGCTAAGAAATACTAGGAAAAAAATAAGACAGTCAATTCTGGGTAAAGCTGTGCACACACATAAGCGCATGCATACATTTTTTTTTTTTTTAAAGATGGAAGAGCCAAGTCATTATTATATGTTAAGGTTAGTAAAGGGATACCCAGACAAGAAATCTTATAGTTACAAAACAGAGGAGACCCTTGGAAGAGGAGGAATTGAGAGAGATACAGAGCACAGATATCTGAATTGGACAAGTAGGAATTATATTTCTGGAAACGTTGTTGTACCACATTTCATATGCACTTTACTTTAAGTTCAGTGGTTTTTCGAATTTCCTAATGTGGGCAAACCACATTAAACACAAAATTTGTCTCTTGGTATTTGTATGTTCTATGTCCACTAGCAGTGAAAATAGATGATGGCAGACAACCACTTTTAATTCACTTATATTTTTGAGTGTATTGGTACTTTGTCAAGACAACATTTTACATAGTTAATTGTTTATGCCAAGGGTGTATGTGTGCAAATAGTGTGTAAATGTACCTACTAAAAACTGTGTATATGTATAGGAGAGGTTTTTTCCACCATCTTCAAACATGGCTTCAAACGGTTTTGGGTGAATTGTCAAACCCTTTCTAGCTTTCCCTCCTTATTCAGACTTCTCTATACCTTCCATTCATCCACCCAGTCTGAGAGATTTGCTGCCACAGACACTGATATGGAAGATCATTGTCTATCTTTGTCATCTAAGGATGGGTATGGGTATGACAGACCAATTCTTTACCTGCAAAATTCATATATTACATAATAAATTTATCAACTCAGAGCTTCATTAGCCACATTATCTTTCAAATGGCTGATGTATAAAACTGAATATGATAGTAAAATAAAAACTTTCAATACATTTAAAAATTCTATATTTGATTATAACTTTATTTTAAAGCATGCTTTTCAAGATAGAAGTTCACTTGTAGCTTAAAAATATGAAAATTACAAAGTCACAAAGTTTGGAGAGCTTTTAAAGAAAAAAAATCTGAAAACTACTCTTTGAATCCTACTTGCTCCCCAAGCCTCTTGCTTGACATTAATGTGGCTGCTGAATGATTCATTTAAAGTCATTTTTCAACCAGATGACATTAGAAATCATTCAGAGCATCCCAGGTAGGTGTGATGAGGTACATCCATAGAGCTGATGAATGAGGCTGCAGATATACAGCACAATTTAATGAGGCCAAAAGGTTTAAGAATTAG